GGCACGGTCCCGCGCAGCACGCGTGCGTGGCGTTGGTGGTGGTCGCGGTGATTGGCGAGAGAGTGTTGATCGTGCACCCGCCTTTGTCCTCGTCCGTGCAGCCGTTCGCTGCCCAGTTGCTCCCGGCGCCACTGTGCCTGTGGCTGAGGTTGTTGTTGCTGCTGCCGCAGGTGGGGTTGTTGCGGTGGTGGGGTTGCTGCTGCTGTTGTTGTTGTTGTTGTTGTTGTTGTTGTTGTTGTTGTTGTTGTTGTTGTTGTTGTTGTTGTTGTTGTTGTTGTTGTTGTCACTGCCTTGCTTGGGGACCGCGACGCGACGCGCGTTGATGAGCCAGCCGGTCAGATGAGGAATGAGGCCAGGCTGCGAGCTGTGCAGCACTGCATGCAGGCAAGCCAGCAGTGTTTTCGTGCTTGCAGGCAGCCGCCGCAGACGTTTCATCATGGTCCCCGCATTCCCAGCTGCCTGGGGCTGCTGAGCATCCGGGCTCACACCACGATCGCCACCACCACCACCACGCCCATCATCGCCCTTGGCGCTGCGCCGCTGTTGCTTTCGTGCACTCCGTGACCCTTGCACCGCCGCAATCACGCCCGCAAGCTCCTCGCTCGTCAGCACTTCCTGCCACGCCTCAGCAATGCCGCCATCGCTGGCACCGCTGCTGCTCTTGGTACTCGTGGTGCTTGTCGTGGCTGTACTACTCGCACTGCTGCGTCTGCTCTTATCACCAGCACCGTCGTCACGGCTCGAACCATCACCATCACCATCTCCACAACCACCACCATCGTCATCATCGCTGTCGCTGCCACTGTCGCTGTTGTTGTCAACATCGGCGCCACTGCCAACGCCGACGGGTGATGCTGTGGTGATGCCTCGCTTGCGCTTGACAAAAGCCACAACGTCAAATGGGAGGCAAACCGATTTGCCTGCACGCAATCCGCCATCACAGGCGTCCAGCGCGCTCTCGTACAGCTCATCCACAAGCAGGGCCGCCGTCGCTGCGCTCGCGCTTGCAGAGGACGCGGTGGATTGCGTCAGAACATCCGCCAACAAATACAGGGCAGCTGCCACGTGTTTTCCAGACACGCCCCGCAGGACCTTGTTCACAATCATGCCAGTCACAGATTTCGTAATGTCTGCAATGCGCGCTGACAGCTCGGCATCCACCCCGCTGCCCTGACGCGCCACATCAGGGGGTGACTCGTCCTGCTGCTGCTCGTGCTGCTGCTGCTGCTGTTGCTCTTGTTGTTGGTTTGCATCTTGACTCGGGCGCTGATTGGCAGCGGGTTCACCGTCGGCGTCCTGCCCACCTTCTCGCTGTTGTTGCTGCTCCTTTTTGGGTGAGGCCGATGTGTCCCCATGTTCACCACCACCTACAGCGTGAGTGGCTGCAGTGGCACCTGCTGTTGCCGCTTCTGCTGCTGATGCATCAGCACTTTCTTTGGTATCATTGCCGTATCCCGCCTTGTGGCCGTCACCGTGATCACCACCACCGTCTGTGCGGACACCTCTGCTGCGACTGCCGGGACTGCTGCCGTCCAGCGTGTGGTCCTCCACCGCAATCTTCGGTCCAAGCGGCGGAGCCTGACCTGAAACAGGGCGCGACCCCTCACCAGCAACACCACTCTTCTCACCATCATCACCATCGCCACCAGCAGTGTGCTCATCATGTCCATCGTGCTCGCCATGGTTGTGGACGGCCCTCTGTGCCTCCTCCTCCTCCGCAGCCATCTGCGCTGCTGCCTTTGCCGCCCTCTCTTCCTCAGCCCTGCGCTCCTGCTGCTCCCGCCGCTGCTCCGTGTCCGCTTCCAGCTCCTCCCGCACCAGCCGCAGGTACGTCCCCAGCGGCCACAGGTAGTTGGCGTCAATGTGCTGCAGCTGCGCAATCCACCGGTAGATCTGCACACCGCGCTGCGAGAGCGGCTGGTACGCCTGCCGCTGCCGCACCAGCGCGCGCTCGCTCACCTCGCACTGGTTGAGGGCATCCTGCAGCTGGCGCGTGTGGTCGTGGCACTCGTTCAGGCTCTCAACGAGGTCGTCGTCCTCCAGCACCGTGCCCATGTCAATGTCGATGATGCTCTGCAGCATCTTCTCGTTCGTCTCCGTCAGATCACGGTGCAGCCGCGCCACGTCCGCCCGCACAGAGACCTCCTGCGTGTACAGGGCCGAGCCCTGGTTCTTCAACACGGCCAGCAGCACCTTCTGCTCAATGGTTGCCGCCGTCGCCTGGAAGTGGATGGCGCGAACAAGCTTGCGCGGTGCCAGCTGCAGCTCCTGAAGCGGCGACCGCGTGATCAGGAACGTGTTCACCTCAACATCTTGCTGCTGCTGCTGCTGTTGCTGTTTCTTGGACGCGCTGTTTCCATGATCGCCTGGCTGTTGCTGCTGCTCTTCAACACCATCACCGTCAGCATCAGCATTACCATCACCGTCGCCATCGTTGCGGGTGTTGGTGTCACCTCTGCTCCGACGCCGCTGTGCGCGCCTTCGCTTGTTGGCGGTGATGGTCTGCTGGATGATGGTGGTTGACTGCGCCGCCGCCGCGTGCCGCTGCTTCGCCTGCACCTCCGCCATGTGCTCCACAAACGCCACCACCTGCGGCTGCAGCGGCACCTCCACGTCCACCACAATCAGCGCCCGCCCGTCCAGCAGCGCCTGCGTTGCGCGCAGCTGAAACTCCGGGTGGTTTGCACTGAGCGTGGTGTGGGACGAGAACTGGCTCACCGCCTCCATAAGCGCGTGGAAGTAGCCGTCGGGGTCATACACCAGCGGCACGTCCGCAGACGACGCAAAGGCCATCGCCGCCCCCTGCAGCAGGTACGCGTCGCGCGGCAGCCCCAGCCGGCACCACGTCTCTTGCTGGTCGTGTGTGCTGAGGATGTCTTCGATGCGTGTTGGCGTCGGGTCCTCCAGCGAATACCAGCGCGCCTCCGTGAGGTCGCTCACCCACCGAGAGAACACGGCCGTTCGCACCTCGGGCGGGCACTCTGGCAGGCACACCTGCGTCAGGCCGGCAAGCAGGCAGTCGGCGTCCAGGAAGCGCAGCTTGTTGTCCACGTCCTGCGACTGGGAGAGCCACGACTCCTGCGCGCGGGCCAGCAGCGTGAGCAGGTGCTTGGCGTGCTGCAGCAGCGCCTTGGTGTCGGCCTCCGATTGCTCCAGCTGCTGGATGACGTGCTCGTGCTTGCTGAGTTTGGCCTGCACATCGGCACAGCGCGCCTTGCACACGTCCACCTCCGCCTGCACCTTGGCCACCACCGCTTGCTGCTCTTTGAGCTTTGCGTGCAGCTTCTCCGCCTTGACCCGCTGCGGCCTGAGCTTGATGCGCGTCTGGCAGTAGCGGTCGACAGCCAGCACCCACGCGCACAGCGTCTCGCACGCCATGCTCACGTTCCGCATCACCTCCAGCGAGAAGTCTGGGCTCTGCGTATGGTCGTGCAGGCGCATGGCCAGGCGCTCCGACACGCCGTCCCGCTTATACTCCAGCACGTTCTTGACAAAGTCCGCGTCGGCGAAGAGCGTGCGTGCACTGGACCACTCCATGGGTTTGCGGAACATGAGGCAGATGGCGTTGGCGAGCGCCATGACGGGCTTGGGCGGCCGCTGGTACATGCGGATCTCGGCAAGGCGCGGCTTTGTGATCTGACTGATGGCGGGCTCGAGATCACGCAGCTGCTGGGTGGCGGTAGACAGCTGCTTGTCGGCCACGGCCACGGCGGCCTTGTACTCGCTGGACACGGCCTTCGCCCGCGCCTGCTCGGACTGCAGGACGGAGAGCTGGCCCTGTAGCAGTTCATACTGGTCGCTCAGCTGCACCCGCACCGCATCCGTGGTCCTCTTTTCTTCGCCCAGCCGCACAATCGTCTGGTTGGCGTGTGTGTTGTGTGAATGTATGTGTGTGTGAATGTATGTGTGTGTGAATGTGAATGTGAATGTGTGTGTGTGTGTGTTGGGGATTAGGAATGTATTAGCGTGTCAGTTTGGAAAGTGGAGGTGCAGATCGGTCATTGGGACGAAGGAAGAGACATAAGGGCGACATACAGCAATGGCTTTTCGTTTTTTACCTGCTGCAAGTCGTACTCCATGTTCTGCACTTTGATTGTCACCTGCAGGACAGCATGTGTGGCATCGATGGAGGGAGAATGAGCAACGTGGTCTTTGCAGACGCAAACAAAACAACACATACCCGCAAACAAAACGCACATACGCGCTACAGCATTGGCACAAACAGAAGCACAAACACACAAATTTCACGCAGACACACAAACACAAACACAAACACAAACACAAAACACAAACACAAACAGAGCAAAGGTGGGCTCACCCGCTCGATGCATGCACACGCGTGTTTGAGGCGACTGCGCGTGAGAAGATACTCGGTCGTTTTCTGGCGTCGAAGAGCGCAAAACTCCCGCGCCGCGCGCTTCAGAAAAATGGTCTGCAGCGATTCAAAAATCCCGGCAAGCTCGTGGAACCCGCAGCTGCTGCACGTGTCCAGGAAGTGCATTACCATCGTCATGATGGTGCGTGAGAGCTGCTCCGCGAGCGCCGAGTCCAGAACACGCGTGCCTGCAAGCAAATCTTGGTGCCGTGCGTCCCCGTCAGCGTCGCTGCGGCCCGTGGTGGTGGGCGTGCGTGCACTCGCAGCTCGCGATGACGCAAGCGACTCAACCGTGTCAACCACACCACCGCCATCAGACGTGTTCTCCGCTGCTGCTGTGCCTTGCTGCGACTTGCGCTTGGCAGCCTCATCCTCCTCGTCCCACTCCTCGAATTGCTTCTTCTCCTCTGCAACAAGCTCGGCCACGACGGTGCTGGCATGCTTTCGCTCATCGTCCATAATCGCCTTCTGCACCACGCGCTCCAGCGCATACGTTGGCCAGGGGGACGCGTGCACGGTGTTGACCATATCCACGGCCTTGCACGCCTCCAGTTCGCTCTGCAGCGAATCAAGATCGCGTTCCGAGACAGATAGGATGACGCGCACCATCCCCGTGAACGCCTGTCGTGCGTCCTCTAACAACGTGGGCAGCATACCAAGCGTTGCCGCGCTGCCGCCGCCACTGCCGCTGTGGTCCGTGGACGTCATTCGTCCTCCTGTCGTTGCTGCGGCTCCTCCCGTTGGCGACGTCGCGGTTGACGACGTGTCCGTCACGGTGATGAGGCTGTTGCTCGGGCCGTTGCCGTTGCCGTCGCTGGCTGGTGGCGTGCTTGCGCTGGCGCGGGAAGCAGCGGTGGGCTTGTCGCCCCCGCGGCTGTTCATGCCTGCGAGCAGGGCTTGCTCAAACTCGTGCAGCACACGTGCGCGTGCAGCGGCACACACGCAATCAAACACATCACCCCCACGAAGAAGCGTTGTCACCGTCGTCAGTGCGCGGTCCTGTCAACACATGGAGCAGTTGCATGCAAGGGGCGTGTCCGTAAAATTTGGATGGGGATAGAATAGACGAGAGTTTGATGTGGGTGAGTGAGTGTGTGGATGACGGGAGAAACAAACAACAGAGACAGAGAGAAGCGAACGTGCACGACGTGGCTGCCAGCACACAACATGACGATGGCAGCAGCACATCATCGCACACGAGTCACACAGCACAACCGCCCCCAACAACACAACAAAGCGCCCGAATCACACACCTGCAAAAGGTCGTCGTATTCGACAAAGAGAACAACGCCAGCTGGTGCGCGCGTGACGTGCATGGGATGGCGCTCCGCGGAGGCCGCATCCACGGGCATTGCGTCCTTGTCGTGGCGCGCCAGCCAGCAGCGCGCGAGAATGGCGGCCATCGCCACCAGCGTCTCCTCAAGACGCGACATGTCTGACAGCAGTGTGGGCGAGCCGTGTGACAAGTCCTGCGCTGCAGCCCCTGTGCCGTTGTTGCCATAGTCGCCGTCGCGTCCGTGCTGGCGGCGGGCGCCTGCACTAGCGCTGGTGCGCGTCTCGTTGCTGCTGAGGGTGCCGCCTGTCGCCACGGAGAAGAACGGCAAGTTGTACATGGCAGCAGACAGCCGAGCAAGCGTCGTGCGGCCTGCGTGATTGCGATTGCGATTGCGCGATTGTGTGAATGTGTGTGAACATGAAGATGTGAGTGAAAAAGGTACAGCAGATGGAAACGTGTGGAAGCTCAAAACACGGCAAGATCGTCACACACTCAACACAAGCAAATAAACAAACAAAGACACAACCAAACAACCAAACAAACAAGCAAAGAAAGAAACAAACAAACTTACCGATGCCGGCTGGTCCGACGACGAGCGTGTGGCGGTGGCCAAGAACGTGGCACCGCAGCAGCGCCGTTGCCGTCCTCATCGCCTCTGGGAACAGCGTCAGCAGGTGGCGGTTGTGCTGTATCTTGCCACTCCCGCCACGCGCAGACCCGACGGACAGCCTTGCGTTGGACTGCATATCCATGGCCAGTACACGCATGTCGGCAAGCGTCTGGCGCTTGAGCAGGCTGCGGTGGTGGCCGTGCGACGACCGGTGCAGCATGCGCGCAAGCTGCTTCTCCTTGAACATGGACAACGACCCGAGATGAAGGCGAAGGCCAGACTGCTGCTGCCCCGCCGGCAATTTGCAGTAGAACACCTCCACCCCGCTGTTCAGCATCCGCGTGCGCGGGCCCTCAGACACCACCCGCTGGTGCTGATGTTGTTGGTGCTGATGTTTCGGAGCGGTGGACAGCGGCGACGATGCTGCTGCTAGTGCGGCGCCCGGTGTGCCACTACCAGTCGATGCTGAGAGTGCGGCTGCTAGGGGGGCGTTGCCGGCCATGTGCTTGGTCGATGTCTCAACCACTCGCCGAATCAGGCGGAACACGGACACCTCAAGCTTTGCCCGCAGCTGCTGCGCCTTCTTGCTGGCAAGCGTCTGCGGTAGCGCAAGCGACCAACGTGTCGTTGACGCCACACCGTCACCACCACTGCCGCCACCGCTGCTGCTCTGCTCGTAATCATCAGCGAGGCTGTCAACACCGCTCGCGTTGCTGCCAAGCGTATCAGTGCGAAGGAGCGCAGGTCGCAGGCCACCGCGGGCACTGCTGCTACTGCTGCTGCTGCTGCTCCGACGATCGGATGGTGCTGACGGATATGAGGAGGAGGAGGAGGAGGAGGACGATGACGATGCAGCGTTGGTGTTCCCGAGTGCAGTGTGGAAGAGGTTGCGGCAGATGGTAGTGCCAAAGTGGGCCCACAGCTCCGAATACAGGACAGCGGTGTCCACGTGGCCCGTTCGGCTGAACTCAAGTGCAACCTGCGCAGTACAACGAGTTCCCAAGGCGGAGAGGGGGGGGGGGGATTGGAGCGGGGTTGGAGGATGGTGAATTTGTGAGAGTGGACGACGCAGGCGTGAGGACAGCAAACGCAAGGAAAACGCAAGACAAGACGTGTACGCATGTATACGTGTGTTCGGCGAGATATGAGCACACACACACACACACGCACAGCACACATACACACAATACATACACACGCACACACACATACACATACACACACACACACACCTCAAGAAGTGAAGGGACGAATGCAAGCAGGTGGCGGTAGCTGGTGGACGCGGTGTTGAGCGTTGTCATCTGCACGAGGCGACTGGTGTCCGGACGAACAATATCATGCACCGTCACGCGAGCTTGGAGATGATGCAATGTGACTGCAATGTCGCACAACAGGCACACGACCGTGTCCTGCACTTCCTGTTGTTTCTGCACGGCTGGGTCCCGATCACCGCCGCTGTCATCAGCACCAGCGCCACCATCGGCGCCCTCGTCTCCACCTGTTGCCGTTGTTGCATCTGAGACAACGACACTCTGTCCTCCAAAGCGCACGTGCATGCCCGCCTGCTTGGCGCTGCGCGGGCTCGTGGCACGCGACCCTGCTGCAGCAGTTGATGCCTGTGTGTGGTGGTGAATAACACCGCCACCAGCAACAGTCGCGGCAACGGGACCTGTGCCGAGTGCGCTCTGTTGAAGCAGCTGCAAGTGCTTCTCCTTGCGCAGGGCAGCGTGGAGATGGTGCTGCAGAAGACTGCTGAGCTGGTCGTGTGTCAGTGGCGCCAAGCACACGCACACGGCACGGCGACACACGCGGCGGAACTGCACGCTCTCCCGCACAACGTCCGCATCCGCCACGCAGACAAAGTCTGTCTTGCGTAAGGTGGCCATGGTCATGTCTGGTGTGAGCACGCGGCGCGTCTCGAATATCTGGCGAATCGCCTCCCACAGCAGCTCCTGCTGCGACTGTTGCGTCATCTGGGCAGGCGATGCCACATGCTGCTGCTGCTGCTGCTGTGACGGTGACTGTCGTGGCCGCTGCTGCGATTGCTGTGGCTGTTGTGAATGCTGTTGCTGCTCCTTCTCGTCCATCATCTCCGCCTGCAATAGCCGGGCCCGCTGCTGGGCGGTGCTGTGGCCGCTCCATGCAATGTCATCCACGTAGAACGTGACAAACCGCTGTTGCGGCCGCGGCGTGAGGTCGTTGAACGACGTCACCATGTCCTGCGAAATGACCCGGTGTAGCCAGTGGTGTGTTGGCTCGCTCGGCGCGCGCCGCACACGCGATTCGCCGTCGGGTCCACGGCGCAGGCACAGCTCAAGCTCCCCAAGCGTGACCGCCTGGCTCAGCACGGCCACCTGCTTGTTGCGCGCGCCTTGGTTCACCGCGTTGCCACCGCCGGTCGTTGTGGACGCATCGCCAGCTGTTGCCGCAGACGCTGCCCGCCCCGCGCTGCCCAGTCGTGATGCACGTGCGTTTGCTGGAGACGTCATGCGTGTAGATGATGCCGTCTTGGCCGGTGACGTCACGCTGGCTCGTTCGCTGCGTGTCGACGCAGCACGGCGCGGCCTTCCCAATCCGGAAGGTGAAGTGATGACCGAGGCGGAGGCGGACGCCGCTGGAACCGCTGCTGAGTCACCGCCGTCGCCAACCACGCTGCCAGGCCCCGCCGTGCCCGTGCCCGCAAGCTCATCCTCCGCCTCATCGTGCACGCGGCGCGCGAGTGCCAGCTGGGCCAGTGACGCCAGGAGTGTCGACTTGCCCGTGCCCTGCTCTCCAACAAGGACGAGCGAGGCGTCGTCGTCGGCGAGCAGCGTGGACAGGAGATGCGCCCGCATAAAGTCCCCGGTCACCACCACACCTTCCACCACCTGCAGCGTGTTGGTGTGCCACGGGCGAAGCAGCCCCGACGTGGCGTCCAAATACATGTCAAACACGCCCGCGCTGATGTCGTTCTCCGTCACACCGGCCAGCCTTCGCTTGGCCACCACCTTCTCCACGGCGGCCTGGTACGCGTGGCGCAGGCGGCGCACGTGCTCGCTGGACACGGCGCGCTCAAACGAGAGCGCATCAACGGACCACAGGCACGCAAACAGGGCGATGCGCGCATACAGGACGGAGCAGGTCGCAGCCGGCGCTGCCACATTGAGCACGCCCATCTCAATTAGTTTGCTCACGTACGCCATGGTGATGGCACAGACAGACATGGTGATGTGCATACACTCGTCGTTCCTCAGCGTGCGCCGCCCCGTTGTTGCCGCCAACGCGTCCAGCAGCGCTCGCAGCAGCGGCTGTGACTGCTTGAACAAGTGCAGCGACATCTGGCTCAGATACTGCCGTGGCGTCATGGTTGGTGCCTTGCGGTTGCGCGCGTGCCGCTGCTGTTGATGCTGTTGCTGACGGTTCTGTCGCGCAGAGCGTTGTGAGTCGCGGGCATGGCCGGGGTGGTCGCTGTGTGATTGGTGGCGGCGGTGGTGCTGCGGCTGCTGCGACTGTTGTTGTTGTTGTTGTTGTTGTTGGTGGTGGTGGTGCTGTGGATGCTGAGGATGCTGAGGATGATGGTGTCGGAGATGGGGGTGCGTTTCGAATGAGGCGCTGCGCTGGAAGCTGTTCACGCGCGGCATGGTGTGCTCGGCACGCACCGCTTGCACGCACACGCTGCTGTGGCGCACACTCCGCGTGAGCATCATGTACAGCAGATCATTCAGCCACGTGTGCACATGCAGCGACACCGTGACCTGAGGAAGATCATCGGTCATGGGCAGGTGGGTTGACCACGCCAGCGGCAGTCCCATCTTCATGCTGCCGTCGTCGTCGTCATCGTTGTTGTTGTTGGCGCGAGTGCGCTCGGAGTTTACATCTACACTCGTGTTCGTGTCTGTAGCAGCAGCAGCGCCAGCGCCAACGCGCGCATTGTGGCTCTCGCTGCTGTTGTGATTGACAACAACAACCCCTGCCCTTTCACCACCCTGATCGCCACTGGTTTCGTCTTCACCCCCGCACCCACAGTCTGGCACTTCCAGCACAATCTTGATGTATCCAGGGATGTCAACGCGCTGGCCGTCCGGCAGCTGCAGTTGCGCAAACCCATCGCTCACCACAATCGGAAATTCACGCCAGGCTTGCATATCGGGCACGTCCACGTGCAAAATGACAAGCGGCTCTTCCTTGTCCGAAGAAGAGGTCACATCATCGCCTTCGCCCGTTATTGTTGGTGGCGTGTCGTCAACGTCTGCGATGTACACACTCGCAACTTCGTTCTCGTCATCCAAGTCGTCGTCGTCGTCGTCGTCGTCATCATCATCAGACGTCATGTGCAGCCCATCGAGCACGGTATCAAAGGTGCTTTCCCCACCGCCATCTCCCTCAACATCGTCGTCGGTGTTGTCGGCTCCATCGGAGTGTTTGTGACCGTGCCCATCGTGCCCACCCGCTTCTCCCACAACCGTTCGCTGGCGCACGAGCATGTTACGCCTCAACCGTGAGGGCGATCCACCACCACCACCACCACCACCATCGCCGTCAGCGTCACGCCCTGGCGACGGCGAAAGGGATACTGGCGACGAAATGGACGACACGCGTCGTCGTCTTGATCGACGTGGTGGCGTATTATCATCACCATCATCATCACCATCACCATCACCCTCATCACGGTCACCGTCATCATTGCCATCGTTGCTGTGAGCGGCGTGCAGGTCAAGGGTGGAAGTGCGTGCGGACGTGTTTGTGCTCCTGCGCCTGCCTGCGCTCAGCATCACGCTTGGCATGAATTTTTGTGCCTCGCGCTGCGTCATTGCGGATTCCGTTTGCTCCTTGACGCGCTCGATTGCTGCTGCAAGAAGATACAGCTGCACAGCGGCATCGCTCACGCCCGAGCGGCTGGCGGCCTCATCACCGCTCGTCAAGCCGCCTTGCAAGTCTTCCGACTCCTTCTTCGCATCGTCGCTGCGTTTATGCACCCCGTGCTGCTGCTGCTGCTGCTGCTGCTGCTGCGCCGGCCCCATACCGCCAAACACGCCACCAGAGCCACGCTGGCGATTGTGTGCGTGTGCGCCTTTACCGCCCGCACGTGCAGATGCTGCTGCTGCTGCTGCCGCCACGTCGGCTGCTTGCGACATGCGCGCGCCCTTGGCCTTTGACGCTGCTGTCGATGCATTCGGCAGGCCAGCCGTGCTGCCCGTTGTGAAGAAAGGCTGCGAGCTGTTGCTGAGCGCGTGCACAAACACGCGGCGATAGATCATGACCGGTGGGGAGATGGTGCGACGCGTGTATGCCTTCCACAGGTTAACGATGGTTGTCTTGCCGGAGCAGATGTCACCCGTCACTACAACAAACTGGTGCAACGACGCCGCCACGTCCAGTGCCATCACTGCGGCGGTCACAGCATCGTTGCACACAACACCGAGCCGGCGCGCAGCGAATGCAAGCCGCGCGCGGAAGAAGCGATAGTGCGCATTATCAGCCAGTGGCCACTTGAGCAATTTTTTCGTCTTCTTCTTTTGGTGTTGTTGTTGTTGTTGTTGTTGTTGTTGTTGTTGTTGTTGTTGTTGTTGTTGTTGTTGTTGTTGTTGCGACTGCACGCTGTCTGGGGTGGACGCGTTGCTGTCGGCAGCCGGTTCAACACCATCATCATCAGTCTTCTGCTGTGTTTCTCCAGAGGCAGTCGTTGTCGTCGTGACGGTGGCGGTAGCGGTGGGTGCACCCGTGATTTTCTGACCCATCACACCTGCTTCAACGTCAGTGCTCGAGTCTCCATCGCCCTCAGCAATGGTTTCGAGGTGTGGTGTCGGTGACGTCGTTGCACCCGCGTGTGTCGCCGAGGAGTGCGGTGGTGGCGGAGACGGTGTCAGCGCTGCCGGCGACGACGGGTCGGGAAGGACGCCAGCGAAACACGCGTGGAGGAGGGTTGACAGCAGGCTCTGTGCCGACGGGTTGCTTTCCATGCCAAATTCGCTCATGAGAACAACAAACGCGGCATCGCGCAGCAAGTAGCATGCCTCTCCCATAGAGAGGGCAGCCGTTGCTGTCATGACGGATGAGCGGTGCCCACCAGTCATGCCAAAGAACGAGCTTGATCGCCGCCTGCCCCCGTCCCACGCCCGCACGTTGCGCACGCTGTCCCGCCGTTGAAGGCCGGCAATGCTCGAGCGCGTCGCGCGTGTGTGCGCGCGTGTACGCGGCTGCGACTGCACGGCGACGGCTGGCGGCGGCGAGATGGAGGACGATTCCACACTCTGCATGCTGTGCATGCGCGCGTGTGCGTGACTGTGCGCGTGTGCGTGGGGTTGCGTGTGATGCGCACCACCACCGTCGCCAATGCTGTTGCTGCTCTTGAACTGGGGCCGTGTTGGGCTGCGGTCGAGCGGGACAGAGAGCGACGCCCGCCCCGTTCCCTGGCGACCGGGCCCTTGGCGCTGCTGATGCTGCTGCTGCTGATATTGGTGGTGCGTGTGTTGGTGGTTATGAAGCTGCTGGTGGTGCTGCTGGTTTACGTGGTGGTGGTGGTGCGTGTGGATGGGTTCAGACGAGCCCGTGAGAGCAGCGAGGGCACGTCGTGTGGGCAGCAGTGATTCCTCACCAGGCACAACCCACGCCGCACACAGCTTGCAGATGGCTTGCGCCAGCTTCAGCTGCAGCAGCGCAACAGGCCGCTGCCGAGAGCCGTTGCTGCCACTGCTGTTGCTGCTGTTGGTGGAGAGGCCAGTTGACGTGGTTGCGTCTTTGGTGGCGTCTGCTGTGTTGTTCCCAGCAGCTGTCGGGCCGTCTCCTCCTGTCTCCAGCGCAGGCGGTGCGATGGCGGTTGCGCTGGCGACCAGGTCAAGGATGGCACGCAGGGACTGCCACAATGTCGGCACAAAGTGCGGCGGAAACAGCAGCCCGAGCGACGCCTGTGAGATGGCACTCACGTCCGGCACAGAGACAGACACGTTCCTGTTGAATGGCCATGTGTTGCGCGTGTGTGAGCGTGGGCGCGCACGTACGTGTATACGTGCGTGTATGTGTGCGAGTAATAAGCAGAAAAGGAAGCTGAAAAAGGCTGTGGATGAGGAAGCACGGCAGAATGACACTGCTCAGAGTGTACTCGCGCTCCCCGGGAGTCCTCAAACCAGATCACCCCTCGTCTTTCGCTACCAACACACACAGACACACACACACAGACACACAGACACACACACACACGCGCACACACAGACACACACACACACACACAGATACAGACACACGCGCACACACGCACACACACATACGCACACCTGAATAGTGATCTGAAGGAGGTGGGAAGCGACACGTCTTGGTCAAAGTGCACGTGTGTTTGGCTGAAGAAGCACACGTTTGGCGACAGAATGTGCGCGCTTGAACGACACGTGTATGTCTTCAGCTGCTGTTGCAAACTGCGCCGAATGTTGGTAATGTGCTGGCAAATCAACGCCAGACACGAGTCCTGTTTGGTGCCGTTCATGAGGAGCATGTGCGTGTGCGTGTGCGCGTGTACAAGTTTGAGTATGGGAGAGGATGGCAGCAGAACAAATCAAGAAAGCAGCACCGAGATCCGAATGGGTACAAGAAGCGCCGAACACACGCACACGCACATGCACAGATACACACACACATGCACAGATACACACACACACATGCACAGATACATGCATGCATACACACACGATGCAGCGAACCTCGAGCATGTGGATGTTTCTGAACGAGATCCACGCGCCAGAAGCGGCTGCACCGACGCACAGGCGAGACACAACTTCAAGCTGCGTGTGGGGCGTGCAGTCAACCACCATGGCTTGCCTGCAGGCACGCAAAAGGTTGATGCAGAGAGAGAGAGAGAGAGAGAGAGAGAGAGAGAGAGAGAGAGAGAGAGAGAGAGAGAGAGAGAGAGAGAGAGAGAGAGAGAGAGAGAGAGGAGGGGTAGCATGGAAGGACGCCACAGTCAGCACACGAATACGCACAGGACAGGTAGCCACGATGCACAAATAGCACAAACCACAGCAGTACACGTTCGGCAAAGTTTAAACACATCAACGCAGACACACACACACGCAGACATGTGCAAACAAGACAGACACACATATGCAGACAGCACCATCACCACCTCCACTCGCCCAAAAGTGTGCTCGCGCGTGTGTGCACTGACCTGCCGCAGAGTTTGGTGAGTGCGCTTTGCATGGTCGTTGCCGGGGTGCTGCTGGCGGCGCCGCGGCCGGGCAGGTGAATGTTGATGCCATATCCGCTCGTCAAGGCAAGCATGATGCCAAGCAGGTCGCGGTCCGATGTCGTTGTGAGCACAAAGGGCCCGTGCTGGGTGTAGTACTCGTAGCTGTGCGGCAGCACGACCGACGCCTGCTCAATCAGCACCTGGTCGTCCTCGTCCAGATCCATTCGCAGCAGCAGCTGCAGCGACACGTGGTCAAGCCGGTGCACCTGGCATGGGGGAGGGGGGAGGGGTTGGGTGTGAGCATGTGAGCGTTTGTGTGTTTGTATGCATAATTTGTGGTTGATTGCATAGCGTGTGTCGTGCGCTTGCACATGCGTTTGCACGTGTGTGCGTTAGTTTGCGCGCAGAGACACAAGCGAAACAAAGCGTGACAAGAGGTTCCGATAAGCACATCTATTCGCACCCCCAACACCCAATCCACACATGTCTTCACATCTCCTCACGTTCCCCCAAGTGCAACGTTCCAGCCCCCCCCCCACAACACTCCATCCGCCTGTGCTGTACCTTCTGCTCCACGAGCGTGCGCCACTGGCCGGCCGCTGCCTGCGCACACACCGACAGCGCCTCCCACTTTGCGAGTGCAAGGCCGTAGTCGCCGTCGTGCCGCGCCCACAGCGCATCACGCAGATCAGGCAGCAGACACACCAGCGTCTGCCACGCGCTGCTGTACCGTTGCACCTGCTTCTTGCGCGTGGTGCGGGCGCCACCAAGACATGTCTTGATGTGGTTCTGCCACAGAATCTGCACGGCAGCGCACAGCGCCTGGCCCGTGTGGTCGTTGAGCCAGTCAATGAGCTGGGACGTCAAGTAGTCCTGCAGCCCCGACGGAAGAGGTACTGGCTTGAGTGCCGCCGCTGATGATGACGACGACGATGATGATGATGATGATGCGGCGTTGGCGGCTGATGCTCGCGGTCGCCCACGCACGCGCCTCGCACGCGCACCCCGCGTTGATGTTGATGTTGATGTTGATGTGGATGTGGATGTTGCTGCAGCCGCTGCCGTGGCCATCATGGTGTTGTCTGGTGCCGCCTCAGACGTGCGGTGACTGGCCAGGCTCGCCGTGGAGCTGCCGCGTGACAGGATGACCGATGGCCTGGCCGTTTGGTTCACAGAAGCGCGACTGAACCGTGACGAGGCCGTGCTTGCGCTGCGCTTCAGCGCGCTGGCGAACACCTCTGACCACAGCCTGTCCAGGCGCTCGTGTGCAGAGAGAATGTCAAACTTGACAAAGTCCTGCATCTCCGAGAACAGTTGCGGCAGCCACAGGTGCGTGGGCCCCGTTGCCACGATGCTCTGCGCAAAGCGGATGGTTTCGCCCGACGGCGCCAGCAGGCCGTCAATCTTGCGGCCCTCCGCTAACAACAAGTCAGACACGTCTGAGAAGCACTTGCAGATGAGGGGCTTGATGGAATGTAGGGAGCGCGCCTGCCCAACCAGCTGCAGCACCTCTGGCGGTGTCAGCATGTACAAGCGCGTGCAAGTCACGGAATATGCGTCGACAGTGGCGATGAGAAGCGAGTAGCATTCCTGGAATTGGTGATGATATTCCGCCAGGCGCTGCCCAACCTCGGGCGAGCACAGGTCGCGAAGGACGTGTTCGGAGCGGTACCCGAGCTGGCACAGCGCCCGCCACCTGGTGTTGTTGATGATGTGGTTGTGGTTTGGTTATGGTTGTGGTGGTGAGGAGTTTGAATGCGAGGGCAGGGGGAGCGAAAACACGAATGGGTGGGTGTTGCTGGGGTGAGTTTGGCGTTGATCAAGACCGGCAAGGGAAACACACGAAACAAGAAAGCAGCAAGACTTGCACCAACACCAACAGGCTACAACCACAGCCACTCACTGCCGCATGGTTGACTTGTAGATGGTGACGGCGTGAGCAAATTCTTCCGAGTTGTTATTGAGGCCGGCGGTCATTGGCGCGTGCACACGCGACCACGCCCGCTCGCAATCCTCCCACTGCGACAGCCGCTGCTCAAACGTCGTGATCTTCTCGTGCAGCGCGCGTGCCTTGGACTGCACGGTAGTGATAAGCAGGTGTGGTGGGTGGGCGAGGTGAGGGAGAAAGGGATGGAATAAAAGGGGGTTGGCAGTAAAAGCAAAGCTGCAAATCACACACGTACACGCACTAGTTTGCACAGACACAGACACGCACACACACACGCACACACGCGCACAGACACACAGTTACACGTGCACACACACACACACAAACACATGCACATGCGCAAAAGGCAGAGCAAACCTACCTTGAGCTCTGGGCTTGCATCGCTTCGGGAGAGGTTGAGGAGGACCATCTCTGCATGGACAATTTCATCACGCAGCGCAGAAACGTTTTCAAGAAGATACGCGTCGCGGCCAAGAAGCGTGCTGCCCTGCCGCTTGATGGGCAGCACCATCGAGTCCCACTTCTCGTTCAGCTGCAAATGTAAAACACAGGAGATATGGTGGCGATTGTTTTCGGGTGGTCGAGAAACATGCGGGTAAACAACGGAAGGCGTTAACGTGAGTGTGTGTGTGTGTATGTGTGTGTGTGTGTGTGTGTGAACTTGTTCAGAGGAAGGGCATAAAACGTGAGCAGAACCAATCAGAGAGAGAGAGAGAGAAGTTGGGTGGTGGTTGTTGAAGATGCGTTTGTGTCTTCAACGAATGCATCATGGCATATGCTCACCTCCTTCCACTGCTGTTCGCGTCGTTGCTCCTCCTCCGCCTGCACGAACAAGTCCTCCAACGCTTCCACCCGCCTGAAACACACACACACACACACACACACACACACACACACACACACACGACGGCGATGACGGGATGAGCACTTGGGGATGAAGCTCGCGACTCCGACGTAGCAGCGCGCGTGGAAGAGTCACACACACACACACGCACACACACGCACACACACACACACACACACACACACACACACACACACACACTGTGGATAACACACTGTGGGGGCTTTGAGGCGTGTAGATATCCGTATGTCGTGATGTTGACATCTATATTGAGGACAACGAGGACAGATGTGCGGCGGACATATCGCTGGCCAAACCAGGGGGAGCGCACCATCTCACCTGGACATGGTTGGTGGCGGGCGGTGAGTGCGATTGGTGGTGTAAGGAGAGGAGAGGCAGTTTGAGTGACGTTCGAGTTTGCGAGAGAGGGGCACGTGCACGTCTACACACACACACACACACACACACACACACACACACACACACACACACACACACACACACACACACACACACCAGAGTAGATGAATACGTACTGATGTCAAGAAGCAAGGAGGCGTCTGCAGCCTTGTTGGTGTATGTCGCAATCTGTCGTGGACACGGAAGGCGTGGTGGCAGACAGGGACGAGCGGTGATGAAACAAAAAATATGAACACGCGAGCAGCCAAGCACACACATACAATGAAAGCTCGCACACAACCATAATCACAATGCCACAATGCGCACAGCAAGACCTCACCTTCGCAAAGGTGGTGGAGAGCGTGTGTTGTGCGTGTGTGAGCGCGTTTAGGAACGACGACACAAACGCGTTCATCTCCTCCAAATCCAACTGCGCAAGCGGAAGCGGCATCCATTGTTCAAAACGCGCGTCCCACTCCCGCATGCGCTGCCAGCAGTCTGTCAGCAAATCAATCTGATGTGTGTGTGTATGTGTGTATCGATGTGTTTGTGTGAGAGCAGCGCTCAAGCGAACAAGCGAACAAGTCCAACATATGATGACCAATCATCCACGAAACCAATAGCCATTATGATGTCCTCCTTCCATCCCCATTGTCCTGTCAGCACTGCACCTGTTCGAGGATGGTGTCAGCCTGCTTGATTGGCTGCAGCGTGATGTGGGAGAGCGGTCCCATGTTGACAAGCCCCCACAGGCGCGTATCGCACTCTTGCAGCAGCACCGTCTGTCAGCAAACATGTGTGTGTGTGTGTGTGTGTTTTGTTTTTGGTTTTTTTTTTGGGGGGGGGGGGGAGGTGAGTTGTCACCAAAAAGGCAACAGGGTGTGACACATGTTAACGTTAACACTCACTCACCCACAACTGCTCACAGCCTTCACATACACACACACACACAGACACACACACATACAGACACACACAGACACACACACCTCAATCTTGTGGTACTTGTCCAGCTGGTGGCGAAGTTCTTGGGCGTTTTTCTGGTGCAAACAAAGGATTTGAGTGAGCTGAAGGCAATCGGCACGACCTGTTCACTCATGGAAAGCACACACTCGAGACCGTGCAGGTTGACAGACAGACACACACACACACACACACACACACACACACGAAAACAAACAAAGAAAGAAACAAACAAACAAACAAACAAAGAAAGAAAGAAAGAAACAAACAAACACACGTCCACAAACTTTGCACACCTTTCTGTATGCGAGCCAGTCAATGGCTGCGGTGAGGGAGGGCATGCTATGCAGTGGGGAGCTCGCGCCAACCTGCTGCGCCAGCGTGCCCAAACTCTCCGTGCACGAGAGAATGACGTCGCGAAACTCGGACATGAGGTTGGTTGCGTAACGCGCCGTCTGGCTGGAGACGATGGACACCTCGCTCTGCACCTCGCGCAGCATGGAGGGGAGGGAGAAGTACTGCGCCTGCAGTTCGGGCGGAACAGCGATGCCCTCCATCTTAAATGCGCTTCGAATCTCAAGGCACGCCTGGTAGTCGAGCGTGTGCTGCTCCTGTCGGGTGGAAGTGGGCGTGGTAGGAGGAGGGGTGCGGTGGTGGTGGTGGTGGTGGTGGTGGTTGGAAAGGGCGGAGGAAAAGGGTGGGCCATAAAAGGCGCGCAAGGAGGGACACACCGGAACAATGGTGACGGTGAGCGGGGGATGGGGAGCGATGATTGATAAGATACATGACAGAATGATACAATCGAAACAACACACAAACGCAAGTGTGCACGCGCGGGCATGTGTTTGCTGCACTCACCGCAATGCCCTGTGCAAAGTAAACGCTTTCGAAAAAGGGGATGGTGTCGTCGATGGTGTGCGGCGTGCGCTTCAGTCGCGTGAGAACATCCGTGATGGATTGCTGGCAGCCACACACACACATTCAACATGATGGTGGTGGTGAGGGAAAACAAGCGACCAGCGGCAACTGGATGCCGTCCGTATGTATTTTCACGCCCAGGGAGATGTGCGCATTCACATCACACTTTGGTCATGTACACAAAGGCAGAGGGGCAACCACACCAGCCATGTGCGCACAAAAGCACAAGCCATGTGCGCACAAAAGCATACATACACGCACACACAGACACACCCACACCCACACACAGACACGCGCGCGCAACGCAAGTGCGCGTGCGCGTGCTGGCGTACCGAGAGGTCGTTGACCATGCGTGCAAAGAGATGGATGAGACGGCGGTTGAGGTCGGAGGACATGGCTGTGACGGTGTGCACCAGCGACCGCTTCAGCTCACGCAGCACAAGCGAACACCTGCACATGCGCCGGCGCACGAGGGTTGAGTGTTTGTGCCATGGAGTCAACATGTGTTCGTCATGCCCCCGCTGTTGGCATTGGTTGGTACATGCGCACGTGTGGAACGTGTGCATGTGTGGAATGTGTGCATGTGTGTGTATCTGCATGTGCGTATGTTTGTGACGTCTCGACTTGGCTGCGACTGCATACAGTGCACAGCCACGCAGCAACAACTTCACCTGGTGAGCTTGGCCTGCTCTGGTAGGCGGTACACAGCCCGCGCAAGCCGCTTGTAGTTGTCCAGCGCTAATGACGCAAACAGACACACGGTGGCGATGGCGGCAGTGGTGGTGGTAATGGTGGTGGTGGGGAAGAGAATGGGTTACCAAAGGGACGGGCGATGAGCAGTAGAACAGCACTGATGAAATGCGCTAGGCTCGACACGTATGCATCCACGTGTACACACACACACACGCACGCACGCACATGCACACACACACATACACACATGCATCCACGTGCACACACATGCACACATGCATGCACGCAACAGCACAACACACCAAAGTTCCAGTTGTGCGGGGTGATGGCGGCGGCGAAGTTGTGGGCAAAGAGCACAACCTGCGCCTTGAGCTGACAGAACGCAAAACACTCGATCAAAAACGCGTTCACCTCCGACTCCATGGCGATCATTGCGTCGCGCCACCTGTCCATATGAAAGACAAAAGTGACCACAACACCAGTGAATTAGCGCAACGTTCATGAAACGCGACGGTGGCATGATGAGACCCTGCTGAAGAAACGCATGCGCACGTTCGCACACCCTGACGCAGTGAACCACACACACACACACACACACACTGGAACAAACACACACACACGCTGAAACAAACACACACACACACACACACTGGAACAAACACACACACACATACAGTCCACCCATTCTCCCCCCCCTCTCTCTTCCTCAAACCTGGCTTGTGATCTGCTGACGAAACCGAGAGAGCGGAGGAGCGCTGAGGGCCGGAGAAACGGTCCAATTCGTGACACCACTTCCTCCTCGTCATCATCGCTGTCATCAAGAACGCTCATGCTCCGACGCAGCTCCAGCGTGCTCCTGCTGTTGCCCGTGTCCGTGCTGGCGTTTGACTGCCTGCCACCAGCACCAGCACCACTGCTGTCGCGGCTGCTCTCGTGTTCGTCACGATCGGCACTGGCGCTGTCATCGTCCTTCCATCTCACAGAGAGCTCCCCGCGCGCCTTTCGCCCACTGCCATGCTGGTTGCCTGCAGGCACGCTGAACGCGGCCACGCCCTCCTTCTCCAACCGCCGCTCCTCACGGTGAACCTGGGACGCTGGGCGACGAACAACGTCCTCGGGTGTGAGTGTGGTTGCCACCTGCTCCACCCACGCGTCCAGGGCATCAAGCAGTCTGCTCTGGGCGGTTTCATGCAAGGAACGGCGCCACTGCAGCGCGGGCGACGCCTTGATCATGTCCAGCACCACCTCCACAACTGCACTTGTGTCCACGTGTTGCAGCTCTTCTGCTGTCAAATCCTCCCAGCGCATGCGCTTGCGTCGCTTCTTGCCCTTTGCGTGTGAGGTTGCTGCCGCCAATGCCCCTCTGTTGCTATTGCTGTTGTTGCTATTACTGTTGTTGTTGTTGTTGTTGTTCCTGTTGTTGAAAGTGGAGCCAGTTTGTTCCTGCACCATGTCACCATCATCGGCACCATCATCATCATCATCATCACCATCGTCATCATCATCATCGTCATCGCGATCATCTTGTTGGGAGAACTGCGACTTCATCGCCCCATTCTCATCACCTCCACCGTCATCGCCACCGTACACCGTGCTGGTGTCGTGCTGCGTGCTGACCGTACTTGCGTTTGCGTCGTCCACGGGCTCATCTTCAGTGGTGACCAGACCGCCGCGCACCAGCCAGAGTGGAACACCGGCTGCCTGCAGGCATCCCAGAATGCGTTCCGCTTGCTCTGGTTGCTCGCAGGCATCCGTGAACATGAACGCGAGCTCGAGCGTGGCCTTTGGCTGCTTCTCCAGCACCACGTCTGTGCTGTCGAACCACACGGCGCTGCCCGCACATGCAGACTGTGCAAACGTGCGCACACACTCAGCCCCTTGTTGTTGTTGTTGTTGTTGTTGTGATGCTTTGATCGATGCATCATGAGGGGAAGGTGTGACGTGTGCTGTGGCGCCTGCAGTTGTGCTTGCGGTGGCGCTTGCAGCTGTTGGGACAGGCTGCTGCTGCTGTTCGCGCTGTTTTTGATGCCGTTGTTGGCGGTGGTACTGCTGATGTTGTTGGTGTGGCTGCTGAGTCTGCTGGCTGCGTTGATGACGTGGCACTGATGTCTGTGTGACCCCTGTAGAGCTTGAAGCAGTAGACGCTTTGCGACCATCAGCACGTTCACGGCTGCGGTCGAGCCCACCGCTGCCACCACGCCCACCATCACCATCGACATGCTCATCACCCTCGCCCCGGTCTGTGTCCATAAACGCGGTTGTTGTTGCTGTTGTGGAGACGCTGCCACGATCCGACGACACAACAATGACGGGCGGTCCAAGCGATGGCAATGGGGTCGGCGACGATGGTGGTGGTGGCGGGAGTGGAGAGGCAGGAGGGAGCGATAGCGCTGCTGTTGTGGCGCTACCCCCACGTGCTGTAGCAACCGCACTGCTCATGCTGTTGCTGCGGAGACCAGTGTCATCGCCACCGCCACCATCACCGCCACCATCGCCACCGTTAATGCTGTTGTTGTCGTGAATGCTCACGTTCACATCTGCGCCACCACCACTAACACCACCACTAACACCACCACCAACATCATCACCATCACCACCACCGATGTTGCGTACACACGCACGTGCACGTGCAGTGGAATTGCACCCAAGATCGAGCATGTGAAACAGGATGCAGTTGAACATGTGCGCCATGGCCACGCCGCACGTGCGCAGCTGCAGCAGCGCATGCATGAACAGCGGCCGGCACTTGACCAGCGCGTTGCGCTTCATCGCCGCCTCCAACAGCGTCGCGTTGCCGGCATCGCCCACCTGCTGTTGTTGCTGTTGTCGTTGCTGTTGTCGTTGCTGCTGTTGTCGTGCGTCACCACCACCATGATTGCCGTCTGATGACAGCTCCCATCGGGGCGCTGCATCCGTGCCATCGTCGCCGCCACCGCCCTCGTTAGCCACACGGCCAGTGCCGTCACCACTGCTGCTGCTGCTGCTGTTGCTGCTGCTGTTGCGGATGTCAAATGTGACAGCATCGACAGCCGCCTGCTTCCACACGGGCAGCGTTGCGACCAGCGCGTCCAATTCACGTTGGACCTGAATCAGCGCTTGTTCCAGCACAAGCTGCACCTCTTGGAAGGGGACACCAACCCATTCGTGTGACTGCAGGTTGTGCCACACGGCGTTCTCCCGCCGGCGCAGTGCTGCAGCAGCCGCTGACGACGGCAGCGACGAAGATGCGTGGATGGCGCTCGTCACGCTCTGTAGCTCTTCAATCGTCTTCATGTCATCGGCACTGATCATCGCCCGCACGGCAGCCGACATGCCACGACGACGACGACGACCACTGGTAGGGCTGGTGGTGCTGGGAGCACTGTCAGCATCGCCGCGCTGTGTCGCACCGTTGCCACTGTTGTTGTTACTGTCGTTGCTGCTGCTGGTGGTGGTGTTTGTGATTGCGACGGGGCCTGTATTGATGGCGGCGCTGTTGTCAGTGTTGTTGTTGTTGTTGTTGTTGTTGTTGTTGTTGTTGTTGTTGTTGTTGTTGATGGTGGTGGTGGTGCCATCCTTGCCCTGCTGTTGACGTGTGCTTGTTGGCCGCAGGATGGTTTGCACGCGGCTCCGACGTTTGAAGGTGTTGCGCAATCGACGTGTGACGTCGCGAGCAAATGCGTTTTGAATGGACAGCAGCCGCTGACGCAACTCCGCCAGCAACAGCACTGGCGTGGGCAAAATGTGCAGGCATGCCCGTTGCCGCTGCGAAGGTGCGTGTGCGTGTGCACGTGCGTGTGAGTGTGCGTGTACATGCATGAGTGCCATCGGCGTGGGGCCAAGAGTCGAAAGCATGGCATCTGGTGAGGTGCACAGTTGCAAACACACATCCACATGCACATCATACGCACGCATTCACACACACACACACACGCAGACACGTACGCACACGCACACGCACACGCACACGCACACGCACACGCACACGCACACGCACGCAAAACCGCAGACACATGCGCACACGCACACGCACACGCACCCGCACGCACCTGCACGGAGAGGGCGGTTGATCTGCGTTGGCGGGAGCGGACAAAGGCGGCCCATGCCTGCAGGCAACGGCGCATGCGAAACCACTGGAAGAGATGCAGGTGCATCATGCGCGCGGTGATGCGAGCAGCACGTATGTACTCTTCAAACGACACAAATTCTGTAGTGGCGCCACCACGACCGTGTGCACGACCAAGTGCACGCGTGCGTGCGCCAGCGACAACGGAAAGATTCCGGTCATCATCACCACCACCATCATCGTCAGCATCACTGCGTGTCCCTGATGATGGTGATGCGTGAATGACGATGCCAGCGCTGGTGATGACGGCATACGGGCGGTTTGAAAACACGCCCTCAGCTGCAAGTGGTGACGGTGGTGATGGTGGTGATGATGGTGAGAGTTCGTTGGATAGAGATGTAGTGGGTGCCGAATTGGTGGGTGCATGTTGAAACGATGACGTAACGATGACGCACACAAGTGCACGAGCAGACGCAAGTGCGCGTGCACACCCCACATGCACCTGAAAACGATAGCGTATGTACGTGCATGTGTTCCATATTGCCCTGCGCAGGCATACACACCCGTCTGGTCGACGAGTTTGAGACAGTACATGGAGTGCGGGTTGTTCGGATCCGCAGCAACGCCGTAGCCAACACTGCACGCAGCGAGTGAGGGAGAGGGAGTGTGCGTGCATGAGAGTGTGTGCGCGTGTGTGTGTATGTGTGAGTGTGTGTGAGTATGTTGGGTGTGAGACACACGCACACACACACAGAGCTTGCACGAACATAACATGCACGCGTGTGCGCACATTGAACGCAGGGTGATGCACCAAAGCAAACGTGACAGAATAGATTCTTGTACACGGCGACACAGAACACCATCTGCACCAATCAACCACATCCACACATACACACACGTGCGTACGTTTCCTGGTCGTTGTTTGCCCGCAATCGCTGCATAAAGGGGCCTGCTTCGTCGTTGTATACCGTTGGCGCAACAAACGGTGACGGCATGGAACCAATCCTGTTGGCGCTGCTCCCGTTGTCAACCTTGCTGGAGGGCTGCTGCTGCTGCTTGTGTGCGCGTTGGTGCTGTGCCTGGTGTTGGTGCGGCTGCTGTGGTTTCGGCATCATCTTCGCCTTCTTGCTCGTGTCATCGTCAACAGCAGCGCGATCGTGCTGGGAGGGCGGCGGCGCGAGCGGGTCGTACTTGTTCCAGCTCTGCGGCCGCGTGCTGTTGGCCTCTGTAACAGCAGCGAGTACACCATGTACATGCAGGTCATTATTGATAAGACGGTGAGCGCGAGGATGATCAAAACTATGCACGTGAGCTGGTGGCATTGAGTTGCACCCCATTTCAAGCTTGACACCAAAGTTGAGGCGATACGTGTCTGCACACACACACACACACACACACACACACACACACACACACACACACACACACACACACACACACACACCATAAGCGCGCACAAAACAACGTGCACAGACACACACCATACGCACACACACCATACGCACATCCTGAGCACACACGTGACTGCATGCGAGCAGGCAGTTACATGTGCGTGGTGTTGTCGCAAAAGTACTACATACGTTGTTGCTCGGCCGCCGTGGGGGCGTGCGGGATGGACGGCAGGCGTGGAGGTGCAGCTGCTGATCGCTTTCGCAGCTGCTTTGAAAGCGGCCGCTGCATGCGCGTCTGAAAGGCCTTTGTAGATCGCCCGGCCCCGCTTTTGCCAACCTTGAATGCCTGCTACACACAGCACATGGTAGCGTCGTGCGTGTACGCGAGTGAGGCTTCGCTGAACTCGCTTCAGCTCATGACCATTGCAAACGTCGGCACCACATTTGACTTGACCCTTTCACGTTCCGTTTGATAGCAACCACACACACACACACATAAGCGCACCTTTGTTGTTGAGCGCCCCTGCGTTCGGATGCGAGACTCCAGCTGGTGCGCAGCACCCATCAACGGCGGCATGCCCATGGCCGCAAACTGGGCTGCAAGTTGCGACGTTGTGATTGAGGGAGGGTCAGAGAACGGCAAGGCAGAGCAGCATCAATGGTGACGGTGACAACAATGGTGGGTCAACATTCGCCACAAGCACATGATGGTGCACAGGGACGGTGGTGCGTCCGCATCACAAACACGAATCACACACACACACACACACACACACACACACACACACACACACACACACACACACACACACACACACACACACACACACACACACACACACACACAAATGCGTACCATCTTTGTCCTTGTCGTGGCCGCCACTCATGATGCGATGTGTGAACGGGGTCGCCCTTTGTGCTCTCCTTCAACGACCAGAAGATGGCGCACACCCCACCAGGCCGAGGAGATGAGTCCAACACACACAGACACACGCTCTCTCTCTCTCTTGCACGTCAAAAGCACATACAACAACACAGTGGTTGTCTGTTGTTGTCGTCGTTGCCTTCTTCCTCTGCTTCTCCGTCGTCGTTGTCCGTGACGGTTGGCAACAGCGGATGATGGCCATTGGTGAATGTCTTGTCATAATCCTCCACGGGTGACTGAATTCAGTTTAAATCTTACTGAATTCAGTCTGATGTACTGCATTCAGTCTCGTGGTGACGACGACGGTCTGTCCCACCCACTAACCCTGACAACGCTTGTCCATCGCGTTCAGTTCGCAACGACACGACGTGGTGTGAGCGCAATCTGGACCTGCCTTGACGGCTCATGTGTGGGCGAAACTTTGCACACGCACGTTCCTTTTGAGAAAGGTTTTACACACTGACTCGCGCACACCTTTGTCTTCTCTCTCTTTTCGTCTTTTGTTTTGCGCATGCGCGCGGTGAGTTCTGCTCCGTGTTTCGTGTTGACTGTCTCGCTCCACACCCCGCCCCCTCCCTCCATTGTGAATGAAGCACTCCACCCAAACACGACGGCATCCATCCCCCAACCACCCTGCATCCCACCCACCTTTGCCTCTTCCCGTCTTTCGTCATCACTGCGTTCCCTCGTTCAACTTGTCACTCGGCTTGTTGCGAGCTCGGCTCGTCAGCCTCTGTCTGGCGTGTCATCACGTCACTAAAGAAGTGCTCGCTCACAACCTGCGCGACTTTGCAAGTCGCTGCCCACCACATCCAACTGCACCAAAGCACACCCAGCACGCACCATTTTCCACCACTTCGCTCATATCACGCACATCACGCACATCAATCACTCTTCCCAGCTTCCCCTTGCCAGTTTGATTTGCTTGGTTCCAAACGCCCCTTCCCCCCTCCCCCACCCGTTCCAACACCAGCAGCACCGAGCGACGCACATTCACGCGTTTGGACCAACCAAATCGAGGCCCGTAAGTGTCCGAACTACGGCGATCGCGTGCCTCCAACACCACCAACAGCAGCGACGCCACCTACAGAACACTGGCACCCCAGCACACACACCGCCTCAGCAGGACACCAACGATGGCTGCCGCGCTCATGAGAGGCACGGCGGTGGTGGCGCTGGCAACCTTGATGATGGTCCTCAGCAGCAGCACCAGCATGTCCCCAATTTTGATGGCGGCTGCGCACGAGGAGGAGGCAAGCAGCACCGCCACGCCCACTCAGCCTTCCGCTGGCGGCGCTAAGCCGAGCGTCCTGACGACCGCCAACCTTCGGGAGATGGCGCCGGAGGCGTATGACCAGTACATGAAGCTGGCGCCCGAGGCAAAGGCGCACGCGAGCGCCAAGCTGGACCGCCTGCGTCTCCCTGCACACGACGGCCAGAGCCTCAAGTTTGCACACACGGGCGAGATGTACATTGTGGACAAGTTTCCGGTTCCCGAACCCGTGTCGCAGGACGAAGCGCATGAGCGCGGTCGCCGCTTCATCTCCGACCGTCCACCCACGGCATACGACGCCAACGGTAAGCACGCGTACGTGTGTGTGTGTGTGTGTGTGTGTGTGTGTGTGTGTGTGTGTGTGTGTGTGTGTGTGTGTGTGTGTGTGTGTGTGTGTGTGTGTGTGTGTGTGTGTGTGTGGAGGGAAGTGGTTTCCTACAGTTGGCTTTTAAATCTGCTTCTATGACAAGCACAAGGTTGTGAGTGCGCCACATCTTCACACATGTTCCCAAACCTACACACATTGGCATACACACACACACATACTCACGCACATGATCACAAACCTACACACATTTTGATACACACACACGTACATGCACACGCACACACACACACCACCACAGGCCTGCCCATCTACCACAGCCGCCCAGGCATGCGCAATACAATTGTGCTTGACTTTGATGGGCACGTGGTCACCGATAGCGAGTCGGCGTGGGGCGCATTCGACGCGCTACCCTTTGATCCCTCCAACGATGGCATCACCTTCTCTGCATATGAGCAGTCGCTCATCGCGCTCATCTGGGCACGGGTTGCTGAGGACTACGCCCCATTCCTGGTGGACGTGACGACGGAACCCGTCACCGTGCAGAACCGCACCATCCTGCACATGCTCATCACATCTGCCACCCAGCGCAGCGGCAACCCCATGCCGGAGTCCGACGGCGGAGGTGCGCTGTGCTCCGTGGACGTGTGCAGTGTGCCTCTGTGTGTGCATGTGCGTGTGTGTGTATGTGCGTGTGGATGTGTGTGTGTGGATGTGTGCGGGTGTGTGTAGTGTGCGTGTGTGTGTGGATGTGTGCGGGTGTGTGTATGTTGTGTGTGCGTATGTGCGCCTCTGTGCGTATATGTGTGCGGGTGTGTTGTTTTGAAACCGACGTGCGTGTACCACTGTTTACAGTGCCACCACCGACCACCACTGATACTGCCTCCATGCGCACGCCCACGCCACAGGTGTCGCCTTTGTCGACATCTTCGACTCGGATAACACCGTGTACTACTCGCCTGCACTTGGTCAGACGCCGCACCACGCCACACCACTTGTATCTCTCAATCACATGTCGGGCTCGCCACCTTCCACGGCCATTGCTGATACATTTTTGCAGTTTTCACCTCTCACGTGCCTCTCCACCAATCACCATCGCAACCACCACCACCATCAACACGACCATTGCTACCACCACCACCAATCCAACAGTGTTCTACGACCACCTTGATGACGGGCACAACGCGTACGTTGCCGACGCCGGCAGCCACGAGATTGGCCACAACCTCGGCCTGGGCCACGACGGCTACTTTGACCAGGAGTACAGCGATGGCTTCGCTGGATCAACCACCGAAAACTCATGGGGTGCGCTAGCTGCTGCTTCGTACGTGTGTGTTTGTCTGCGCCTGTCTGTCTGTCTGTTATGTATGTATGTATGTATGTATGTATGTATGTATGTATGTATGTATGTATGTATGTATGTATGTATGTATGTATGTATGTATGTATGTATGTATGTATGTATGTATGTGCGCAGTTATGCTTGATTCTTTTGCCGTCTCTCACTTCTTTTCTTGTCCACACGTCACTTCCATCCCACACATAACATGCTGTTTGATGATTACGTGTCCGCCATTCCATCAATCCTCTTCAGGCCCAATCATGGGCGCACCGTAAGTTCACAAACAACACTGCACTCTCTCTCTCACACGTCAACACACTCACGCACACACACACAAACTCTCTCTCTCTCTCTCTCTCTCTCTCTCTCTCTCTCTCTCTCTCTCTCTCTGTCTCTCTCTCTCTCTCTGTCTCTCTCTCTCTCTCTCTCTCTCTCTCTCTCTCTCTCTCTCTCTCTCTCTCTGTCTCTCTGTCTCTCTCTCTCTCTCTCTCTCTCTCTGTCTCTCTCTCTCTGTCTCT